AGTTATATAAGAAGCTTGAGCAGCTATTGATATGACACATTAAAAGAATGTGATTCACAGAAGTGAAGCTACAAATAAAAACTGTTCCTGGATCATGAGAGTAAACTTTGCTCACTCCTTCCTCACTCTGGAATCAAAACAGAATTTCTTGTAAATCACATGATTTAAGGGAAATAGAACTTGCAACAACCAATGGGAGGACGAGTACACATTGTGAAACAAAAACAAACTCTTTTTATCTTGCACAATGAGTTGTGCCATGAAATTAACTTCAATAGAGTCAAACATGTTTTAATCTGAAATATAAAATCTGATCTGTATTATTAACCTGGTATTTTACATAAATCAGTTTAGATCACCTACTTTCATTTAGGCAGAAATTGACACATGACTGAGCCATATAGTATATGCCACTCATTAGTTTATATTGGTAAACATAACATGTGGCAGTAGGATGAGTTTATCACTTTATGTATTTCCATTTTGCGCATGTGACTGAGGAAGGATTCATATTTCTAAGTTTTCCTAAGAGGGAAAAAATAGAGGGAGGGCACTGAGAGATCCAAAGATTGAGAAACACTGGGGTGGATAATGCACAAAATCCCAGTCGATCCACACATTGTGTCAGAGCAGGCAAAGAAACAGAAGCTGCACAATGAAGTGTCCTGCCGTTTCATTGCTGCTCCTGATCGTCGCTGTGGAAACAGGATGCTCAACAGGAAGCAGGTAACACCTTATTATAATGCAATGTAATGCCAACGTGGCTTGATGCAAAGAAAGTGAATTATTTATGTATGTTTAATATAATGAATGATTATTTTGTCATAATGTAATGGATAAGACTTTGCAGATCTTAATCCATAGCTAAAGATGTTATTGAATATGAAATACGAGATCCTTTTCCACCTCTCTGCACAGATTCTTCATCTCAGCTCCAAATGTGTTTCATGTGGGAGTTAATGAGAAAGTGTTTGTCCAGATGGGGGCGCCTCATCTCAACAGTCCTGTCACTCTCTACCTGGAGCATGAGAGCTCCAACACAGTTGTGTCTGAGAAGAAAATCGTCAGGTGCTTCGACCAACAGGACAACGAAACAGCTGAGCTCATGGTATTGACTCACACAAAAAAGCAAACAATCAAGACAGGACTGAGATGTCACTAACTCAACTTTAAATCTGTATCTTTTACAGATAGACAGTAGAATTATGTCAAGATTTCCGCCTCCAAAACATCAACCGTTGTACCTTTTGTTAGTGGCAGAGAGCCCAACCTTCGATAAAAGGAAGTTTACCAGGGTCCTTGTATCAAAACACAGGGGTTATATCTTCATTCAGACTAATCAGCCAATGTACAACCTAAAAGAGAAAGGTAGGAAGAAAGCAACAAATTGAAATTGAGATGTAAAACAATGTGAAATAAATCTACATTCTATATCCATATTTAAATCAATTTACGTTGACATTATCTCTTCAAGTGAGTTACAGGATATTCACTCTAGACCACACGCTCAGGCCTTATGAGGGAACGCTGCACACATCAGTATTTGTAAGTACGCACATTTTCTTTAGGAATAAATTGCATTTTGAATTGAAGTTGTAAACAAATGTTTCATTCTTATATTGTTTTCTGTTAGAATGCAGCTGGAAACAGAATAATGAAGTCCTCCAGGAAAACACAGGGAGGTATAATCAGTGACACTTTCCCCATACCTGATGTTTCTGGGTACGTTTAGACATAATTGCAATAAACCTTTACTTACACTAACAGCACAAGCAACTTTGACACAACAACACATTTTGTTTTTACCAAGAACGGGCACATGGAAGATTACAGCTCACTATGATGAAGACGAAGCAAATGCTGCTACTCGAGAGTTCAAAGTCCAAACATTTGGTAAGCTTCGAGTTCTGTTGAAGTATACATTAAAAAAAAAACTGTGATATACAATACTTCAGTCTAAGAATGTTTTATTGTTACACACTCTATAGTTTTACCAAGTTTTGAGGTGAACATCAAAATGGAGCAGAAATACGTTTTGATGAAGGCTGAAGAGTTTGTCTTCACTATCTCGGCCATGTAAGTGTTGATCAATACGCCATTAAGTCTGCTTATTGTCGAGCATTGGTTGACAACAGAGGCTAACCTTAAACTTAAATGTTTTACATTTTGTTTCTGCCTTAACCTCAAAACTAACAAGATTTTCTCCCTAGGTATTCCCATGGTGAGAAAGTTACAGGAGCTTACCACTGCAAATTTGGCGTGTTAATAAAAGGTGGAGCTTCTGGTGAAAAAAGGAAGACTGTCATTATTAGGGGACTAGAGCTGACTGGCTCGGTAAGAAAACAGATTTCTATCCAAAATGTATTAAAAGATCTGATCAGATTTTTTGATTAAGCACTTCATTAGCTGAAAAGCAAACATTTTTGCCATTTCTTGCAGGTCCAAGATGGAACGGCCACAGTTTCTCTCCATAAAGCACAATTAAATGAGCGACTCCAGAATGACATGAACCTGACCCTCTCAGATTTACAGCAAAATGAAGCACAAGTCTATTTGGGAATATTCGTCACCAACATAAACAGTAAAGGACATATTACATATTACATACCATTGTTCAAGTATAAAAACACTCAGTGGGGTTAAAAATGTAATTAATAGGCATTTTTCTGAAGAATATGTTTCCATCAAATATCTTGTTTGTTGACCTATTATGTCGTAGAGAAAGAGAATTATATTTATTTACCAATTTGTATAATATGTTGGGTTTTGTGTACAGCGGCATGTGCTCTGCTCTGTAAAGTTGATGTTTGGAGGTAAATGGCCAGATGACTAGATTAATATTAATTAATAGTTTTAATATGGTGTCCAATAATTTAGGACACATCAATGTTTCATTCCATTTGTACACAACCTGTTGTAAACTTCAAGGGTGCTGACACTTTTGTAGGTTTCATTAAATATAGTCATATATTTTTTGGGATTATAGCTACAGAAATATTTAAGTGATATAGTAGCTAATTAGGAATCCTCAAGTACCCAATTTGACTGAATAATTAAACATTGAATATTACATATTACATACATGGTATCACTATATGTATATGCATATTTATGGAAAAATAAATTACATGAAAAACTGTCTATATCCTCAACAAACAATTATAATAATAATTTATTTAGATTTTGGGAGTGATTGTGATTTTCATTGCAGCTGATATAACTGTGTGTAATTTCTTTTGCTCAGGTGGTGAAATGCAAGAGGCAGAAGTTTATCTTCCCGTCCTCTCCCACAAATACACCATGGATCTCTCTCGAACTCGCTCACACTTCGTTCCTGGATACACACTAGATGTGGTGGTATGTATGTCACTAATGGATACACAGCTGAGTACGTTACTGTTGTGGCTTTCTATGTAAAAGATTGTGTTTGTTGTTGTTACAGGTGATCATGCGTCTCCCAGATGGGTCTCCAGCACCTAATGTGCCAGTCAGGATTGTCCTACCAGAATCTTCAGAGCTACCTAAGCAAGACACTACCAACCAGGAGGGGGCAGTGTTTCATACCTTTAATATTAACAGTGCAGCTGCGATTACTGTTGAAGTTAGTTTCCCCCAAACTCAGAAGATCTCAGATTTTTTTTTGTTCAGTTTTAACTGTTTCCATCTTTTGGCTTCAAAAGGTGACTGCAGACGACCTGCATCAGAGGAAAACAATTCAACCTGCTTCATCTCCAAGTGGCAGCTACCTTTACATGAGTATTACCAACAAGCTGTACTCTGTGAAAGACATACTTACAGTAACCTACAACACCTTGAATGGCCCAACAGATGGGTATATATACTACATGGTGAGCCACATCAGACTGACTACCACACGATACATTTTAAGAAAGAAGAGCCGCAGTTTGTCATGAGAAAAACATTTCTGTCTGTCTCTGCTGCAGGTACTGAGCCGCGGCACCCTGATTACAAAGGGATCCGTCCCAATTGGCAGCTCAGTGAAGAACGACCTGCAGATAACACATGATATGGTTCCAACCTTCCGACTGATAGGCTACTTCCACAACCAGCGTGGTGACATCATCTCTGACTCAGTGTGGGTAGATGTCAGGGATGAATGTGAGATAAAGGTCAAGGTGAGTAAACAGAAGAGATAACAGTGGACAAACAGAACTTTAACTATTTTGAATAGACTGTGTGCTTGAAAAGAGTGATTCAATCTAACTGAGACACTTGTTTTATAGTTTTGAATTTGTTATAAACGAGGTAGAGGGAGTGTCACACAGGCAAAATAATCTGAAGACTGTAAATTGACTTGGGTGGGTGCCATCTCAAAACACATAACCCTACAACCCTAACCAACGGGTTTTCATGTGTATATCTTGATGTTTTGTTTTAATCTGACCTTTGTCAACAACATTTAAATGTCTCTGAAATGTCTTTGCTTCATTCAGGTTCAACAAAAAGGAAGCTCTGAACCTGGAAAACCTTCGAAGCTAGAATTTGACCTACATGGTCAGAGAGCCAGAGTTGCTCTGCTCGCTGTGGATAAGGCCTTCTACGCTCTCAATGCTGATAATAAACTCACAGCCAAACAGGTGGAACTTTCAAAAGCACCTTGTACATACTCCCTTCAAACACATAGATCTTGTTTTTTTTTATTCATTCTATATTTTAGAATACATTAAATACAGGAGCTTGCTCCCCTCTTTCAGGTGTTTTCTGCTATGCAGTCGTACGACCTTGGTTGCTCATATGGTGGAGGATCTGACTCAGCGTCCATATTAAAAGATGCTGGTCTGTCTTTTGTATCTCAGTCTCAGTCAGTGTGGAGAAAAGGTAAGACAATTTTTTTTTTTTTTAATGTAAATTTCACAACCTATATTGACTGAATACTGTTTCACTGATGAGAAGTTGCTCTGATACCAATGAAACATTTAGTTATACCTTGATGCCATATTGAATAGAAATTAAATTATAGTTAAAACTGTGTTTAGTATATTTAGATATTTATTGCTATTGCTAACCAAGGCCTTAGGTATCTGCAATCACCACTGCAGAAATCATAGTTTCAATCAATGATTATACCAACAACCATCCACACTTAAACATAAAAGAAACTATTCGGCCTATCCCATGAGCTTTTCAATTGTTATGTAAACTATGTTTCCAGATCTTCGCTGTGGTTCACAATCTGCACGACAGAGACGCTCTTTGGACCTTCAGCTGGAATTGATGGCCTTGAGTAAGAATTTGTTGTAGCATCACAACTTTAGTTTGTGATAATGTGACATACTTCTGGCAAAAACATTTTACAAAAATGATATTTTTCACTTTCAGAAACGAACTTTTCTGATGAAAAACTTCAGGACTGTTGTAGTCAAGGGTTTTCTCTCATCCCCATGAGACTGACCTGTGATGAAAGAGCAAAGAGGGTTTCTCTGGTGCAGCAAAATGAAGAGTGTGTAAAAGCCTTTTTAAATTGCTGCCTGGAGGGAGAGCGTCTGAGGCACAAAAAGATACAAGAGGATGCCCAGAAAGGACTTGGCCGGAGTGAGATGAAATCACATCTAATATCTCATATAAAAGCTGTGGCATGAATGTAACAGAACTAAGAAACAAACCTTTCATCCTCTACTGTCTTTCTACTTCAGCTGCAAGTGAAGATGACATTGAACAGTTCTTCTTGGACACTGCTGCTCAGTACATTCGACGATATTTCCCTCCCAGCTTTGCATTCACTGAATTTGACGTAAATGATAGATACTGGTAAGAGGTCTCTGGTTTTAATATAATATTTTACAATGAAATATTGTCAATAAAGACATTAAAACATTTGCTGACACATCATTTAGTTTATATCCTTTACATTTGTTTCCATCTGTCGCTACTAATATCATCAATGTGAGAATTCCCGCTTTTCCTACTGTTTAAGAGTGTAAATGAATCTGGATAAATCCATTTAACAGCGTTTTATCTTTTAGGTATCCTCTGACTCTGCCCGACTCCATCACTACATGGGAAATTCAGGTCATCACATTATCTGCAGCCAATGGTGATACAATGCTCCCAATTTCACAAATGCATAATGGATATTCAGCTAAAGTTCCTTATTAATAACTGCAACTCACTGACTCTGTGTTTCATTTAAGGTTTTTGTGTGGTTCAACCGACTGAGGTCAGAGCCTTTAAGAAGACGTTTGTGTCTCTGAGACTGCCTTACTCAGTGAAAAAATACGAGCAAATATTCATTTCACCTGTTATCTACAACTATGGCAATAGCCCGCTGGAGGTAGCTATAACCTACTGCTGATGTTAAGTACCAATTAAACAGGTCAAATTCAAAACACTGAAATTCTCTGTGTTTTTATCACAGGTGGCTGTTCATATGGAACAAACCGAAGGACTCTGCTCCCCTGGTTCCGCCACCACCACCGGGTTTGTTAACATCAATGTGAAGCCACAGTCTTCCCAGTCTGTCTTTTTCTCTGCAGTCCCCATGGTAACAGGCTCCATACCCATCAAAATACGTCTCTATGATATAAAGAATGAGATGGGACTGGATGCAATTGAAAAGACTTTGAATGTGTGGGTGAGTGACAAAGAATTTGTCTAGTCTCATAATCTAAATCACCTTTTTACAATAGAGACCAAAAGAAATAATAAAAGAACAAATATGGCGACATGTAGGGGAAGCGAAGTAATTTGGCTCCTGTTATTTTATGTAGACTGAAGGATTACAAAAGAGAGTAGAAGAAACCCGAGTGATTAACTTAGATGGTAAGTTGTTTCAGTTTTCATCAATGCTTAGTCATTATTATTTTTCTCAGATACACCATTTGCTTGAATCAGTTTATTTTTCTCTGTCATAACAGGGAAGAGCACAAATACCATCTTTTATGATGGAACACTACCAGATGAAGTCATCCCAGAGTCCAGCTCCAATATCTTTATTTCAGCAGAAGGTATTGCTATGAGAGATACACCTGCACCTCACAAGTGTGTGTAGATGACAGTGTCTTGATTTTCCAACCTTCTCACTCGACAGAGAATGGATTTCAGGCACAAGCCAAAAACCTACTGAATCCGGAGAAAGTTGCCAGCCTGATCGTGTTGCCTACGGGATGTTTGGAACAGACAATGGTACGACTTGCTCCGACAGCTTCAGCCCTGCGGTACCTTGATCTGAGTGAGCAATGGTTGCACCTTCCTGCAGGTGCCAGGGATGAGGCTATTGATAAAATTATCAAAGGTACGAACGCCTTAATCGAATAACTTCTCCAACTCTTGGAACCATGCACACACAAAGTTCACAATAACTCACAAAACTCTGATATTATTGCTAAGGCCCTCATTAAATGCTATTTTTTCCTGACCCTAAAGTTGACTATGTCTGTTTCTTTAGCACCTTCACAACAAGGTGTCTTGAGAACCACAGGCCACGATTGCTATGAGATTCACTGTGGAGACCCATGGTGCCCACAGAAAGAATTCCTTTTGACCTCTTGACCTACAGCATCAAGCCAAACTTTCCATTTGTGCTCAATAAATATAAAAATAAGACATACAGTATATCTTATTGCCGTGTTAGAATGACGGATAAATAATGAGTCAAAAAATAAGCATTTGAATAAATGTTTAAACTGCAGACAACAAACACAGTTAAAACTGAAAACTGAGGCATGAAAGCATGATGGGGAAAAAAAACCTTGAGATTTGCGAGTTTGCTGACCTGACCCTCAGAGCGAGACTGTTTCATAACCTGTGAACCAGGACAGAAAAAGCTTTGTGAGCTTTTGATGAGTCTTTTGATGAGTCTGTAACTTTGGGTAAACGATTGTTGTGATGACCTTAGATGCCTCATGAACCTTAGAATCATTATCTCATTGACACAAGAAGCACATTATTGGAGTCCATCTTATAAATCAAGTTGATAAATTAACCTATATTAGCTCTTTACTAAAATGCACATTAATAATTATAGTATAGATATAAATGAGATACTCTACTCTCTCTACTGAGTTTATTTTTTGTCAATTTTATTATTTTATTATTACAAGTTTATTTTTCAACCTATAAAAAGTACATTCCTTGGTGTTTGAGGAAACATTAAAATATTATTATTAGATGCCAGTAAATCATATAGAATATTTTTTTTAATTCTCAAATATTATATTATATTTGTTAGAAACCTGAGAGTAAAATCAACTGAATGTTTAACTAATTGTACTGGATCCTCACCTCTCACTGTGTACGTGAAGACTCCAGCAAAACATTGGGCAAAAAATTCAGTGACAGTGACAACAAATCAGAAAACAAAGAAAACTAAAACCAGCTAACGGCTGCATAATAATGATGTTTCAGCCTCTAGATCACTCAGAAACACAAGTCTACAGTCTAAAACTCCACAGGGAGGCTTCAATGTATTCTAACTGAGAAAAGTTCAACTAGGAGTCTATGGTGACCCCAGGGCCTCTGCTTCATCTTCTTGTTTCACATTTGTATTGTGGGATGTTAAGGACATTGCCCCCTCTACAGGTCACTAACAAGGCTATACATTTCTTTAAATCAGGTTATACCAGGATTTTAACCTACAAGAAAACAGGTGGAGCTTATGGAGCATGGTACTCTGTGCCATCCAGTAATTGGTGAGTTTTTTCCCCTGTATCATAAATGATCTTGTAAGCTTGTTAACTTCTGCTTATATTGGAGCCTTCATTATTGACACTTATATAATTCCTGAAATGTTGAGCACTTCACATGTGAGACTTCCACCACAGAACACATGTCCCAAGAAACCCAGCCATTCAAATTTGGCAGTCATATTGTGATGAATGTATTTGAAGGAAGTTTTGGTTCAGCAGCTCACCAAAACAGTTTGCATTGAAATAAAAAGGTAAAGCTATAACATTTATACACATAAGATTAAAGCATTTAAAAACCAGGACAGTCTTAGATCTTACAAACAGTAAGTATTCAACTTAATTCAGCTGGTATTCTCATCACTATTGTACTATTGTATGTCAAGTGGAGTTGTGTGACAAGAATTCATTAAAATCATTCTGGTCTTCCAGAGAATTCTTGTCCTCCATCAGTCACCTCATACAGGCATCATACAGGCATCTATTCTATAAATACCTAGCAACATAAAAATTATATCTATGGCAAATATACTATTTGAGATGGATGCTTTCTATTGGAAATGAATGAGAATCTGGTCTTAAACCTTCAGACCCCATGTCTGTGCTGTTTTGATTGGTTGATTAAATATAAAATCACATATCTCACATGATAAATCTATTTTCTTAACTTCTAGTATGTCAACTTGTTAGTCAGCTCATTCCTTCAACTTTGATTCCTTATTTTTCTTTTCTTTTGTCCTCAGGGTGACTGCCCTCGTAGTAAAAGTTCTGTCCTTGGTGGCACAGCGTCAGACAGGGGCTTTAGGACAGCAGGGCCGGATAACTGGGGTTGTGCCTGCTGAGGAGATCACAGACTCAGTCAGTTACCTGCTCTCAGTACAGAAGACAGACGGGTCATTCATTGACCCACATCCTGTGTTACACAGAAATGTCCTGGTAGGTACAGTGTATAGTGTACATGTCAGAGTACATGAATGAGAGCAGATTTAGATGCAGTGACAAACTGAGCAACAGTGATTTAATGCAGCATTGTGCTTGTGTGTTTAATGTAGAAAGGCAATGACCAACATGCCTCCATGACGGCTTTCATCACTCTGTCGCTGCAGCTGTCCCGTCAGTTCCTGCACAGTCAAACACGAAATGCTGTGGTGAGATAAAATCTTGTCGTACTTATTATTCAAAATGTAACTTTTTTTAAATGTATATTGCCCTGAGGATAGATCCTGATGACTGTGATCATCCCTGACTTTTCAACATCAAGTCAAAATTAAAATTTCTTCAGAAACTTTCTTCTGTCATCAAATATCCAAATGACATTTCCATCGACCTCAGCTTTACTTTGTCCATGTTAGCTTTACCTCAGCACAGCCTCCCAGAGCTGCTGGTGTGACTCTTAGAATGCTTATTGCTTTTAGTGTATTTTAACACACTGTTGTCAGTTCATCTTCTGTGAGAATGGTTTAACGAGTGGAAGGCACTGACTGCCTTTATGCTACTTTCTACCAGGAGGCAAGTATTTCAAGATCAACAACATACCTCATGTCCCACTTCGAGACGCTTCAGCATCCATACGCTGTTGCCATCACTGCCTACTGCCTCGCCGTTTGCCTGCCAGAGGGAACAGATCTCTCAAGTGTCTGGACAAAACTTCAAGCAATGGCAACCGAAGGCATGTCCTACCAAAACAAATAGGCGGTATATTGGTATGGGTATAGGCCATTTCATTATTTATTCCATATCATCAATGGAACATCAACTGAGAAATGGCTTGAAGATAAAATCCAAAATAATCAAAATATATGTTTCAGCAAATCCAGAAAGGTTTCGTCACATGCATCATATGTGAAGGTTGTCATCTTGTAAATAATAAAACAAAATCAGTGAATATGTTATCCTGGATACGAACTGTACATTTGGAGCCAGAATCTGCACAGTAATGATCATGGTGTGGGGCAGCAGTATCAAGGTCATGTGCAATACACATGCTCGACTGATGAGGCTACTGGATAACTTAGCACTTGCATATACAGCATAGTGATGATAACTACCTAAAATGACAGAGACATCTTTGGAAAAAAATCTATGTAACATGTAATTTTACTTTATAGTTTGACCAGTATCCCATCTGCTAACATGGAGGAGGTGGGGTTTATGACCTATACTGCAGCAGGGGGTGATCAGGATGAGTTGGCTTCACTTTTTGTGAGCTGTCGTGTCATCCATCTTTATTTATCTTTAATTCCATGAGTGAAATACTATTATCATCGTATCACCAAACCCCATAAGCAACCATTATATCATGTTTATTTAAAGGAATGTTTACTTATTGTCTATTTCTACACCATCAGGGAAGGATGGCTGTTATCTGTGGACAAAAGATGATAGCACACAGAATCAAAATGAAGCTGACGGCATCACAGTAGAGACTACGGCCTACGCCCTACTCACTGCAGTGGCACTTCAGAAAACCCAGGATGCTGACAAAGCAGCATGCTGGTTGGTCACCCAGGAAAACTACTTTGGAGGCTATAAATCATCACAGGTGACAAGATTGACAATGACTTACATTCATGAAGTCCAAGTTTACTGTCAGATTAGTGTCTTAACATATTATTAATGTTTTATTACCACGTCCAGGATACCATCATGGCACTGGAAGCCCTCGCTGAGTATGAGCTAAAGAGGCCTGGCTATCCCGATTCAAATATTATTGCAGAGTTCACTGTCCCGGGAAGGAAAGAATTGGTAAAGCTTGAGCTGGTAAATCGGGAGAAGGTGGAAACAGACCTAAAGGTATTGCAGATTATTGCAGACTAAACTCAGACACACACAAATGTTTTGCCTCATAACTGACCTTATGTCCTCTTTTGTCTGTAATCACAGAAACTTGGGGGAGCAGGGAAAAACATCAATATTCAGCTGTCAGGAAAAGGAGCGGTCAAACTAAAAGTAAGTTTTAGTCATTTTCTTTATACCGGCTGAATAAGATCCATAATTTACTGAAAATCAATCTCCTCGCAGATTGTAAAGGCTTTCCATTTACTGGATCCCAAGGACGAGTGTGCCAAACTGTCTATCAGTGTCTCAGTGGAGGGGAAAGTAAAGTACACCGGTGGGTTTTTGTCACTGATATTAAATCACAACTCAATGTATTGAAAGCCACATTAAAAATCTGTCTCCCTAGCTAAGATCATAGAAACGTATGAATACTATGACGACTACAACAACAAAGAGGAAGAAGAGTTGACAGTGCCACAATCAGCGATTGCTCAGTCTGATAATCGCACCCGGAGCAAGAGAGATGTCGATGCCACCGGAAATTCAAACACGATTGTCACCTACACAGTCTGTGTCAGGTCAGTTCTGTGACACATTCGCTCTATAAGCATTCATGAAGAGATGACAAACTCCAACCAGTGTCTTTCTCTGACTATATTTTTCATTGTTTTGTTTGTGTTCCTGTGTAGTCACAGTGTGAACAACACTCTCACAGGAATGTCGATTGCTGACATCACACTACTGAGTGGATTTGAAGTTGAAACTGAGGATCTGGAAAAGGTAAGTGGATTTCTGCCTCCTCCTCATTTGTGTCATCCTTTTCAATGAAAGTGGTTGAAGAGATTTTGCACATCATGTAAAAAGTTAAATTATTTCCTCCTCCCAGCTAAAAAAGTTAGAGCAATACATTTCCCATTATGAAGTCTCCCATGGAAGGGTGCTGATCTACTACAATCAGGTGAGGCTGAAAACCATTTAAATTCACAAAGTCTTACATTTCCTATACTAATAGAAATCTTTCCTCTCCAGCTCTTTAAGCCAAAGGAATGTATTAATTTCGATGCCGTACAGATGGTTCCTGTCGGCCTTCTGCAGCCTGCTCCAGCTGTGTTCTATGACTATTATGAACCAAGTACGATTTTTCTATTTTTAGCATTTTTTGTCACGATAGGTGGGACATTTAAGTTGAATGTAGGAATTTTGAGCTAATTGTGCTTTTCCTTGAAGGCCGAAAGTGTACCGTGTTCTACTCTGCCCCCCAGAGAAGCAAGCTGGTCTCCAAACTGTGTTCAGAGGACGTGTGCCAGTGTGCAGAAAGTGAGCCTTCCCTCCAACACCCATAGAGACTAAACAGCTGTGAATAAATGTAGCTTTAAAGGTTCAGTGTGTAGGATTTAGTGACATTTTGTTAAGGTGAAGTTGCATGTTGCAGCTGAATCTCACCCTCCCCTTCCAAACATGAAAGAGAACCTGTGGTAGCTTCAGTTGTCATAAAAACTCTAAAGCTTTAGTTTGTCCAGTCTGGGCTGCTGTAAAAAACATGGCGGCCTTCGTAGAGAGGACCCACTCCTGATGTAAATATAAAGTATTTAAATATAAAGATCCTTATAATTTAGATGAAACACACTAGTAAAAACATCACTGGGATTAGTTTATATTTCGGCCAATAGATCCTTTGAGCTAAATCTTACACACTGGACCTTTTTAAACTTGGGGTTTGTGTAACTACTGAGAATGTTTGTCTTTTCTTTAGGACCGTGTCACAAACAAAAAATTATGTTTGGATCTGAAGGAACTGGAAGACTGACGAAGAATGATCGCCTACAACATGCTTGCTTCTTCCCCACAGTAGATTATGGTCAGTACTACACAGACGACAATATTGTGTTATTTATTTAAATATAAATTCCATTCTTGCATACTGTACACTGACACCAAAGCAAATAATGGCTCAGATTAATGGTTTTCACGCCTCCATGCTAACGACAGCCAGTACCCGGAGGTATTATGCTTTTAGGTTTTCCCTTTGTCTCATTCTTATGAACACGATATCTCCAAAAAAAGGCCTGGGGGTTTTTCCTTTATATTTGGTACAAATGTCTGGTTAGAATATGGATAGAAGCCGCTGTGACCTATATCTCAAGAGCACTTGGAGGGAATTTGTTCTAGTTTTCTGGGGTCAAAGTTCAAGCCACTGTAATCTCATGTGAACTATAATGAATGTCCAAAGTGATTTTCGTCACATCTGGCACAAATATTCACTTGGATTGAAGGATGACCTGATTAGAATTTGAAGGTCAAAGGTCACTGTGACTTCACGCAACACCTTTTACCTCTTGAATGTGTTATCTTAAGCACATAATATCTCAAGTCTGCTGTTAGGACATTTCTTCACATTTTTGACCAGGTGTCACTTGAACTCAAAAATGAATTTATTTGATGTCAGTGGTCAAACGTCACATTGACCTCATATGCGTCTGAGAAGAAAATGTATATTAACTGAAACTGAACTGGTTAGCACAGTCATGCAACTACAGGGTGTTGATTGTAATTAATAATTGGTTAATTGTATTTCATCTGCAGCGTACATTGTTGAAATTGACAGTGTTTCAATGAAGAGCAACTTTGAGATATACAACTCTAGAATAATCGATGTTCTTCGATCAAGTGAGTAAACCGTTACTACAAACCTTCACAGATCAGACTTTGTTTTTTCCTTATTTGATTCATACTGAGAAGACCCTTCATGAATATATTATCTGTCATCTGTCGTCAGATGGAGATATGCTTGTTCGTGAAAATTCAGTTCGAGTGTTTGTTAAGAGGCGTCAGTGCAAAGGAGAGATGATTCCGGGAAAGAAGTATCTGATCATGGGCAAAGATGGCTCCACAACCGACTCCAGTGGAGCGTAAGTATAGTCAATGATTTAACGGAAACAGCGCTGATCGACCCTTGTTTTTTCACTCGCTCCTTCTTCTTGTAGGATGCAGTATCTGTTGGAATCAAACACCTGGGTTGAAAAAAAGCCTTCAGATGGAGAGTGTAAAAGATCTGCTCATCTGGCTGCCTGCAGAGGCTTTACAACATTTGTGAACGACTACAAGCTGGACGGCTGCAGACAGTGAATCAAATCTGAGAGCTCTATTCTCATGTATTACGATATTTAACCTTTGCATAATACATGAAGAGTCTATAACATGAAAGCATCTGCAAATGCGGAGACATTATTGCTCGCCTTATTCAGTCTCCTACATAGTATCACTTTAACATGTACCGCTTCTTCATTTCTTTATGTCTGAAAAACAGCAACCAGTTTTCGAATAAAAACATCAGCAAGGGGCTTTGTATGTGTATTTTTTTTCAGCTAGTTGTGTGAATTTGAATGAAATTCAACTTATTGTCACCCAAAAATGTACATTTGCTCTTTAATGTCGCTCCAAACAGTGCGATTCAGTTTGTTGTACTGGGCTGATTTAGCCTTCCTGTTGAATATATAGATATATTTTCTTTTACTGGCAGTAAAGGATCTGAGAGGGGTCTCTGTGTTCAATGCTGCCCCTCTCAAACTTACCCCCTCCCTACTCAACATCTGCAAGGTGAGGAAAAGGAAGAGGGGGGTCTGAGGCTCATGAGACTGGCTCACTTGCTCCCAGTAGAGTCTTGCTGGATTAGAATCAATTATTACCTCATAAGGATAAAAGTATTCTATAAGAGAAAGTTGATATCCGGCCTCTCAAATATGGTTATAAACATGCTGCAAAAAGATTTTCCATGCAATTATAATGTACAAACTTGTTGAGCTTGTGCTGCAGAGAGAGGTGGTGGGAGAAAACCAGGGGGGCAATGGGAGGGAGCAGTGCCGAGGGAGAGGGAGGGAGGTTTGGGTGGAGAGGTGAGGAACAAGCGAAGGCTTATGTGCTTATATTATTCTAATCTCTGAGGCCGGGTCCAATGTAAGCAACACGGGAGCACTGACCATCACTTCAATCACAGCCAGATCAATGGCTGCACTGTTTCAGCCATCAGACATTTCATTAAATTTGAATCAATAAAGGGTAAATAAATACGCAGACGTCAGCATTGCACATTTTCATCTCAGGATGACTTTAGTGCCTTGTTAGTAGCAACAGTGTATTTGGAAAAAAACTTTTTTTACTGTAGCCTCCTTAAAGTAATCTATGGTTTGTAATGTAATGAGTAAACATAGGTAAACTGTCAGGAGTAATGTGTTACATGTTTCATTTTGTCACGTGGTTGTTTATGCATGTACAGTTTTGACCCGGGCTGTGTGTGCAGAATTATAAAATATATGAACTACATAGACAGAGTGACAGAGATCTACATCCAGGTGTAAATCACCACAACATATTTATTGTAGATGCACATGTTCCATGAGTACGTGTTGACTGACACTGACACACCAAAGAAGCATCAGTGAAAACTGAAATATGTTCAAATGACCAGGTGTATTTTCTCAGGTGTGCAGTACAGCCTTAGGCACTGAAGGGGAGTCTACGGCCATTTTTTCCAAAGGGCCAAGGCCGGGTCAGCGGTTTGAGGGTGGTCTATGGTGCAGAAAGAAGTGGAAGGAAGGCGGAGCTGTTTACTGGAGGTTGCTGCCAGATGGAGTCACTGATGGAGTGGGACCACCCACGCAGGTGTCCACATCACACTGACAGTTAGTCTTATCTTAATTTAAATGTTTTGTCTTATTATCCAGGTGAGTTGAGCTATTACCAGAGCAAGTCACAGTGTAAGAAGCACAGGTCTCTAATGAAACCATTTTGACTATAGTACAACAGTTTCAGAGTCCTGGTGATGTGACTGCTGACACACTGCTGCAGCTCGATGGGACATTTTAATTAAACAGAACTAGTATAATTAGAACATGTGTTATTCTCAACTCTTACGAACCAGATTATCTGATCTGTAAAAAAAAAAGTTCTACATAGGCCGACAAATTTTATTTCAGTATGTGAAATGTTTTATCCTTGAAATACAGATTATCTTTATTTACATGATCAGACTTGGTTATATGGTTAGAATTAGTTTTAGGTTAGGGTTAGACATTTAGTGTGGATGGTTAAGGTTAGGGTAAGAGGCTAAGGAATGCATTATGCCAATGAGTGTCCTCACTAGGATGGAAGTACAAACGTGTGTGTATGTGTGTGTGTGTGTGTGTGTGTGTGTGTGTGCA